AAGATTCTTTGTCTCTGGTTTGGGGAGGAGGCTCAAGAAAGTTCAGTTCATCTTGAGCAAGATGGGTTTGAAATGGAAATATTGGTCTTTGCAGTACCTGGGGAAAGCAGTGACAAAGTTGGTAGATAGGGGAAAAGGATCCTGCTGGGGCATTGCTGGGATGAGGCTGTGGCTGGGTGAGAGGTTGGATCATCCATACCTTGCACAGGTCATCTTTTGCCATGGCATGGCTCCTGCTTGAGCTGTGGCTGTGGGACTTGGCAGTGTCCCTTTTGCTGCATCTTATCCTGGAGGCATGGGGGAGACCACGTCCTGCTTCAGCTTGCCTTGCAACAGGTGAGTTTCTCTGTTCCTGGAAACAAAAGTCCAGCAGCAAGGGATTTCCTCTCTAGGGTATCCCAGTAATGTCCTGGTAATTGTGTCTGTCTTTCCCCAGGCCTGTGGCCAGCCTAGCAATCAGTAACTGGTTTTTCAATTCCTCCTCCTGTTCTGGCTAGCAGAGGTTGAGGTCTGGCAGCAGTGATCACATCAGTCACATCCCTGACTAAGGCACTGCCCGAGTGCCTTTGCTGCTCTCTGTGTTCTTGGTTCCCAGGCCTCTCTTCTGCAGAAGGGATGGTTTGGGCTTGCTTGCTCTTCTGTGCTGCTGCTGAAGTTACAGTATTTGCACAGAGCCAGTTCTTCTGAGATGATGATCATTCTTCTGTTTAAGCACAAGCTGCCAACTTACAGAATTAATTGCCAGTAGTCTGCAGTAGCCCTTGACTTGTCCTAGAACTTGCTTTAATAAAAGAGAATAGGTCTTTAATGAAAGTGAAAGGACTTCTGTATTTTCTCTGGAAATACAGAAGGGGCTGCAAAGCCAGGCTCTCAGAAGGCAGGACAGCTTTTAAGTAATACAGCCCAGATCTGACCTCTGTGCACTGCAGGTTCTGATTGCGTGGCTCCACAGTTGCTGCTTGGCTTGATGCTGCCTTGCTCACTGTGCATCACTGATCTGTATTTGTAGTTGTTAGCTGGGGTTTTCATTTTCCTTTTTTCAGCTCTGAGGTTGTGCTTTACTTGTGTGCTTAAGCTCTGCCCCAAGAACAGAAACACAAGTTGTCCAATAGGCTCCTCCGTGGTGCTGCTCATAAGTATCTGAGCAGCTGCAGTTCATGGTGTGTTTGTGGGAAAGCAGCTCTGTAAATGGGGAGCTGAGGCACGCACAGGGTACTCAGCCAGTTCTGGGTGCTCTTCAGGGAAGCTTCCAGGAATTCTCTCCTCTTAATTTCTCATGAAGTGCGCTTCTGTGGCTGAGAGTTCAGCCCATGTGCAGAGCTCATCAGGGGTCTCCTTCTGCCAGGGTCTGGCAACAAAAGATAGGAGAAGTTTAAGGTTTGTTTGATTTCATAGCAGCTGTAAAATAAACAAGGCAGGAATCACTTTTTTGTCAACTTTTGTTTGCCTCTCCTGAGACTTCATCTGGCTTTTGTACCTTATTTACTACACCTTAAAAAAAAAAAAAAAAAAAAAAAAGATCTGCAGGAAAAAAAAACAACCCACCCAGGTAGAAGGTTATTTCAACGCTGTTATTCAGCAAGTGCTTCTGCTGTGTGAAAGGAGTATGCTGTGACAAAATGAGGTGCAGGATTAGGTCTTTTTTGTTTGTTTTACAGAGAGAGGAGAGGGCTGGGCTGTCCACCACACAGGCTCATCCTGCTTGATTCATCCGCAGGCAGTGCTAATGAAACATTGTCCTCCCTGTGGAGCCTCGGTGGGGAGGCTGGGCTGTGCAGTTGTGTTGGATTTGTTGGCTGGTTGACACCAGCGACCAGGGGAACCATGGGCTCTGCCAGTGGCCTGAGAGCAGGTATTTCTTTGCTCCAGTCAGTGCTTCTCTTCAGCCTTGTTCCCAGCCTGCCTTCCAGTCCTTGCCTTAGTAGTCTTCATGCACCAGTCCTGGTCTGAAGCGCTTCAGCATCCCCTTCCACTTCTGGTCTGTGATGTTGTCTGGGTTTCACATCCCAGTCCCCTGTGTCTGGTAGACCTACTCCATTCTGGCTTCTTTGTTCCTCACATTTTCTCATCTGACTGATGTGATCAGAGGGTACTGCAGTCCCTGCCAGTGGTGGCATTGTTCGTGTCCCTGCTGCCCAGCTAGTCTCTGTGCCCTCCCAGCCATGCTGGCACCCATCTGAGCCTCTGTGCTATGGGGCCTGGGGACATTCCTGGCTGGTACTCTGCTCTGCAGAGGCTTTAATGATTTTCCATTTAACTGTGATTAACCTGACTGGCAGGGCTTTGCTTATTGCGTTCTAGAAGAGTTGTGGTGGCAAGATTGCTAGCTTTGAGATGAATCAGCATTAACAATTTAACAATTAAGCCGTAAACAAATACCATTTATTTTACAAGACGACAGACAGCAGGATGTTTTCCTCTGCCAAAGCGTCCATCAGGCTATTGGTTAAACTCTGTAGCTGGTAAGGAGGGAAGGAGAAATAATTCCTCACTCATAGAAAAAAGATAAGTCATAAGTCTCTGTTGACTGCCAGTGGGAGGGATGCTGAATGACAGAGGAGGCTGTTGCCTCCTCCTCCTGGTCCCACAGTCTGGTGATTACTGGCTGTTAGTGCACAGACCTGTCACGTTGGAGCCTGGATGTTACTAGAGTGTATTAAATCCCTTCAGGCAGACAAACTTTGGGCTGGTACTTAATTTACAGCACTCTCCAGGATTTTTCCATATAGATCCTCTGTCTTAGGAGGGAAGAAGAATTAATGATAAATTAATGAAGACTCTTACATTGTTCTGAATTTGGGGGTAATTTTAGGCCCCTACTTAACCTTGTCATCTTTCAAGCTTTTGCCTCTTTTAGTAATTATCTGCTTGTTTTCCCGATGGTTAAACTTGCCATGGAGAAATGTTGCGTTGATGAATTCCTCAAATTCTTTTGGTTTGACCAGAAGGCAAGGAGGTCTGATCACTCTTGTGCTCATGACTTTCAGAACTAGTGCTGAGAATTCAAGCTCTGCCAAGGGACTCTGCCCACCTTGCAGCTGGTGGCTCTCAGCACCCAGTGTAGGCTCTGTGCACATCTGGCAGGTGCTGGGCTCTCAGTGCTCCTGAGCTGGCACTCTTGCTGTCCTGCTTTGCTCAGGGGCACATGTCCCCTTGATCCTTTTGCCTCCCAGAGATGCTGGTGAATATTTTTGAGCATTTTGCCCTGTTAGCAGGAAGGAGTGGGTGGATGGCTGGGAAGCTCCCTTGGCCCCAGCCTGGCTGCTGTGCTTCCTCTTACAGCTCTGTGGGTGCCCAGGCTCTGCCACAGTAGAAGTTGCATTGCCTCTGGTGGCATCTCTGGACTCACTTTCCAGTCATGTATAAAGGCAAGACTTCAGCAGGGAGCAGGTAGCCAGGTGTGGATTGTTGTATGTTTTTAAAACTGCTGCCCCTGAAGAACTGCCTGGCTGGACAACCAGTGTGCTGGCCTTGTTCAATTGTCTGTGCTTCTCTCCCTCCCTTTTATCTCCCCTTTGCATCATTTTTCTCACTTAAATGCACCCTTTCTGCAGGCCACAAAGGCTGGTGTGAACACAGCCTGCAGCAAGGGGATCCTGCTGAGCTTGCAGGCTGGGGACTTCCTAGCCTGGCATGTGAAAGTGCTGGGGCTCTGGCTCACCATTACTCATCCAGCCTTCTTGGGCTGCCTTACAGCTGTCCTGGGGATGTGCCTGTGCAAATTTCCTCACTTGTTGTGATGGCTGACCCCTTGCTCAGTGAAGTGCTTCTCAAAGATGCAGCTATGCTGAGGTACTGCTGCAGGCTGGCAGACACCAAGAATGTTATTTTTCAGTCTAGCAGGTAGCTGTTTCTGGTTTTTCCCTTTTGACCTAACCCTTCACTCTCTCTCGCCTGGCAGGAAACCTCACCAGCCTGTGCTAGTGGGACCTCAGTGCTTGAGGTGGGACACTGTGTGCCAATGTCTCTTTGCATGGGCAGCACCCCTCTTTTTAATATATTCCTCCTTTCTTTTTTTTACCTCTCTTTTTCCCCATCTTCCTTCTTTTCTTCATCACACAAAATGTGTACAGCCGAAGCTTACCTTTTTTCCACTGCTTTGTTTCTCCTGCTGTGGTGTGCTGCTGTGGGTTAGGATCCCTTGGATGGCTCCAGCTGGCAGTAATTTGGGATATGGACATATTGGGACCTCTTACTAAGCTGTGAGTGCTTGGGGTCCCTACTGAGAGCAGAAAGCTGAGCTGCTGGACTTGAGGTGGAGCATATGCCAGGCCATGCACATACACTGGAAATGTGCCCAGGGCAGGATAATTATGGGAGGCAGTGTTTCCTCAAGTGGACTGTGTGCTCTTGCTTGCTAAACAGTCTTGTGATTAATATCTTATTTAAGAGGATTTTAGGACATGTGCTCCAGTTACACAGAGTTTCTTTCAGAAGTAGGGGAGAGGTTAGGAATGTAAACTCTGTAAAGGCTCTTTTGTGTTTTCAGCAAGGGTCACCAGGTAATTGCAGTGCATCCCTGTTCTGTTTTGCCAGAGTAGGCAGTAGGTTTTGCTATGGATGGTTCATTGGGAGAGGGATCCTTGAAGGGCTTTGCAAATGTTTTTGTACAGGCTGTGTTCTTAAGATCTCCTTAGGGACCTGTAGCTCCAGCACTAAGGGTGAGTTCTTCTGCCCTGATGTCAGCATTACCAGCTCACCCTGGCTCCTGGCATTAGACTCTGGTGAGTTCTGCAGCCAGCAGGAATTCACCAGAAGATTTTGCCTTCAAAACAAGCCTATGTGTGGTGTTTTACTCAAGTAATGTTTCAAGGTGTCAGCAGCTCGATTGTTGGCCTTATGCAGGACACATGGTGTGGACGCAGCACTATCTGCATGCTCTGGGTGTTTCTGTGCCACTGCTGATTTGCTGGGTGGTCTTTGCTGGTGGTTGTAGGTAGTCTCCTTTCTGATCAGTCTGATGTGGCTGTCTGACATCTTCACCCTAATTTCTTTCCTAGGCTAGAGAACTCAATTAAAAGGGACATGGGAGCATGAAGAATTGCATGGAGAGCACAGATGTGCTGCCCGTGGTGGCATCTCCTACAGCTCTTACCTGGCAATCTGCTGCTGCCTGGAAGGGGTTGACAGGAACCTCTGTGGACAGCAAAGGAACCTGGAGATGAAGGTGATGACCATGGCTCTTAATCTTTTTTTTTTCCCTGCCCCTTTTGTCACTTCCACATGTCTGCAGCAAGAGCAGGACTGTCAGCGTGACAAGGCCACATACATTGAAGCATGGCTGTTTGCACTGGGGCTATCTTGTGTTACTATCTGGAAGGATAGTAAAGAAAACGGGGAGGGTTCCCTAATACTCCCTTAGCAACTATCCTATATTTCTCTTTTAAAGCAAAATAAGACATTTATTCTGCTTCTTGTGGGAGCCCTTGTAGAAGCTGCCATGTGTTGGTTGTGTGCCAGAGATTACTCATCTGATAAAGAGTCTGATATCCAATATTTATTCTGACTTGCATAAAATGAATGAGATGTGTACTGGGGCTCATTTTGGTAAAGCTTTCCCTAGAAACCCTTTGGGGACATTGCCTTTGGCTCTAGGTTAGAGTAATTAGCTGCCTACTTACAAGCTGACCTCTGCTGATCATGCCTGGAGTGCTTCTGTTGGTGGTGCCACTACTTTTCCTGTCACTCTTCCCCACTGGCATCCTGCCCCTTATCACAGCACTGCAGTCCTTTGCCTGTTGCCCTTGAGGATGACGAGCATCATGTGAGCCATTGCAGTGACTGTTGCTGTTGCTGGGACCTCCCTTTTTCTCTCATGCATGGAAAAGCTAACTTGCTAGGAAATACTTTTAGAAGCAACTGCAAATGTAAGTATTGGGTTTATGGCTCTTTTCATGTGTGAAGAAAGTTTGGGAGGACCTCATTATATAGCTGCTTCTCTAAATATTTAACTTGCTGGCATCAAGAATGCCAGCTGTTGCTCCTTACTTCCTCTTCTGCTGGAAACATGCTAATGTCCTCTCCTCCACTTAAAACCTGATCTTCAATATGGAAAATGCAGCACCCTTTCTTACTTTCTGGCTGAGCAACACTTCTCTCTCCCAGTGTTGTGTTACCTTTAGCATTGCAAACTCTAACACTTGGGCAAGGGTGGTGGAGTTCCAGCAGCCCGCTTGCCTAGGGCCTGCTGGACTTCTAACCCCAAGGAGGGCAGAGAGCAGCCAAAAATCTGCACAGAGGTCAAGACAGAGCAGTATGGAACGTGGGGAGCATTGGCAGGAGTGGGAATGCTCTGCTGGAGGTAGGTGAGTAGAAAAGAAAAAGCATAGCCCTTTGCCTTGGCTATCTCTGGCAGCTGCTTTTTTCATGGGGAAAGAAGAAAACTAAGCTGGAAACAGCTTGATTTCTGGTTAGGTGGAATTTGGGTGGAGAATAAAGGATTAAAGAAGCAGGTCAGCCAGTCCTCCACTGCAAAACTTCTTGTTTTGGTTGTTGTACAGAAACAAAGAGTTTTTTACTTGTGGTTTTCTTCCTTGTTCCTCTGTGGAAGTCTGCTCGCTGGACAAAGACGTGACTTGGGGTGTGATGCTAGGTGAGCTGGGTGGATCTCATGTGGACATGGGAGCACAGGGTACATCCTTGTGCATGTGCAAGGCACAGATAGGCAGCAGGGACTGGGACTGCTGGCTTTGATTGGGTGCCTGCCTTTGGGACAGCTGAAACCCAAGGCCAAGCTGACTTTTCAAGCTCAGATAAACTTTTTGTGTGGAAATATTCCTTCTCTTAATGAGCATTGGTAGCACTGAAGACTCACCTTCTGTTTGTGCCAGAACAAAATCTTGAGCCCCTTTTGAAATGCTCAAAGTCTTCCTTGGCAAACAGTCAAACCCAGCCCTCTGTTACTAAGTCTGGTTTCAGACTAGGCAGGCCTGGTTAGGCCTGGTTTGCAAGATGGCAAGGCTGCTGGAGGAGATGGATATTTGAAAACCAGTAGAGTGATATATTTGGTCTGTAATATCTGTATCTCTGTCCAGCCTCTTCTCAACAATTACATTGTTTTATATGTTAATATATAAAAGTGGAAAAGGGACTTTCCTCTGAAATAGGGAAGTAAAACCGAAAATAGTCACGCATCCCACTTCATGCCCCAGTGCTCCCCGTGGCTGTGTGGGAGCCTCTGACCCCCTCCTGCTTTAGAAAGGGGCAGAGCCTGCCTGTTGGAGCAGAGGGTTTGTTGTGTGTTGGACACTGATGGGCAGAGGAGAGGGTAGGGATGTGCTTTGGTGTGTGGTGTCCAGCTTTAGGAGTGGCCTTCCAAGGTGGGTGTCCAGGCAAGTGGACACCAGCAACAAAGGCTTTGACCATGTACTGAAGTAGTTTCCCTTCAGGATAATGGGATGATGCACATGGAATGGTACTGTGTAAGATTGACAGCACAGTTAATTCTACTTGTGCTGAAGTGCAGTGTGAACCCATCTGCTTGGTTTGGCTGCAGTTTCATGTGTGCTTTAGAGAGAGTCCCGCCAGTGCTATCAGTTTTGGGCAGTTCTGTCAGGAGCTGGGTGTTGGTGTATGTGGCTCTGTGACCTCTCTCCACACTGGTGCTCGCTCTCTTTCTGTGTACCCATGGCTTATCCTCTCTCTGAGGTCCATGCTGTGGCAGGTGGCACTTATCTCAGACACTGCTTTGCACTTGAAGCATTTTGTGGGACTTGTGCACAAGCTCTGAAACGCCTGGGTGAGCAGAGGCTATGAGCCCAGAACAGGCATTACATGCAGTGGATCTGGGAGAGAAGGGGGGGAAAAGCTGACCAAAACTGAAGAAAAGGGAAGGGCTTCCAAGAAGGAAGGTTGGTGGAGGGTGGAAGGACAGCTGGTAGTAGGATCTCACCAAGGCAGGAAGGCAGCTCTGGCTGCACTGTGGGGAAAGGCCACCGAAATTAGGGCACCCCCTTGTGCTGTGTGGATGCTGGAAGGGATGTGAGGGGCCTTAGGGGAAGATTTCCCAGGGGGAAGAGGAGAGTCCGGGAGATGCAGACAGTAGGAAAGCACCCAGTTTCTCGTGGGTAGCACCTCCAGCCTCCCTCCCCTGCTCCACAAAGCGCTGTGAGTCCCTGGACTCTGAACTGAGCTCTTCACGAACCACCGTGCGTGGCGATGGGCGCTCAGCCCCCGCGCTGCGGCTCGGCGGGGCCGGGCAGAGCAGAGCCCGGGGCTTTCATCTGCCCCGGCAGCAGCAGCAGCACCGCCCTGGCCGCGTCCGAGGCTCTGGGGGAGCTGGCGCCTCCAGACCGATGTGTGGGGAATTTCTGCTCTGCTCCCCCCGCTCTCACGTAGATGATTTTCAGCTCTTTGGGCCATAATCTGCCGAGATTTCTGAAAGAGCTCTGATGTTCAGTTAGCTTTTAAAGACCTCCCAAAAATGGCACTGGAAGTTTGCAAGTTTCTGAACCACTGGTGCTTCCCCTATTTGAGATGCCGCCAGATAATGCTGTACAGAGATCCAGACAAGATAAAGAACCTATGAACTAGGGCTGCTTACAATTTTTAGTCTTGTACTTTGGGGAAAATACCCTTAAATTGCTCTTTTAGCAGACTTCAGAAAATGTTCATCAGGCTGATGCATTTTAACTAGTGATTTCTATATTTGTTACTTCGGAGTGAGGAAGAAAAATTCAGAGCTAACGCCATGTGAAAGTAATTTCCCTTGACAACACACAATTCTGGCCTATATGTGTGTTGGACAGCTTATGAAAAAGCTTTTATTTCTGAAATGTCACTGTATTATGAATGCATTATTTCTGAACTCAAAAATAGAGGAGGCTATGTATGTAAATATGTAAGTACATGTATTTGTTACAAATCCAAGAGAGAGTACATGTTTCAGTGGAACAGAACCACTTTAGCTGAATTGGCCTGATTCTTCAAAAATAATTAGAAAAAAGCCCCAAACCAAAAAAACCACAGAAAGACCAGTGAAATGCAAATTAAAAATCCTAAAATAGTTTATGACAGCTTTGCTAGGCTGCTCTGCTGTTTTTCTTTGCTTTAATATTAAAGTGCTGTGGTTCTTCCTACATGAGGAGTTATTCTAACCAACATAGCCAGAGCTTGAAGATTCTCTGCAAGTTTAGCCTCAGGGGATACAGCATGACAGTATGAGGAGGGAAAAAATTGTGTGCCTCTTGTCAGGAGATATCCAGGACTTTCTACCTTCAGATACCTGTGGAAGCTTACAACACAGTATGGTAGCAGCCAAGTTCCCATCCTGTTAACCTGGAGGGGAGTTTGTGGAGAGGAGAGTGAGGTACATTTCTGCTAAGGATCCTTTTGGCAGGAAAAGGAAGGAAAGGGAAGATGAAGGGTCACCTGAGATCAGCTCCCGTGTGAGCTTCGCATCTGAAGTGCCTAAAAACTTGTCTCTTAGCAGTGTTCTGGAGTGAAGCTATGCAGATTTGTTTAAATAAAATTAATGAGTAACTTTTAACCTGAAACTTGGTCTGAGCCAGATCAAATTGTTTAATGTTCAGTGAACTTTAAGCCCCATGCTTTTCCAGTTTGAGCTTGGATTGGATGTTCAGCAGCAAGGAGAAACGGCCTTGTGCTAGAGGTGGCATCAGATCCTCTCCTGGTCTGGAGCACTGTGGGGTGTTGTGGCACTGGGTGAGATCACTGCTGTTGGAAACACCCAACAGCTCTTGCTCTAAAGCAGTTAGGCATGGTGTCCCCCCAGGGTGTCCTGGGAGTCACCCCAGCAGCTGGCAGCCACCAGCTGCATGTGGAAAATCTCTGCTGGATTTCTGCAGCCTCCTTGTCTGCACTGGGGTGCATCTATTCCTGGCATGACAGATGCCTGACTTCTGTGTCTGAGGAGAGTTCCCTTTACGAAGGAGGAAGTCTGGTGTCTCTGTGGCCAGGTGGCCCTGGGTGGCTAGAAGGAACTGTGTGTGTTTGTGGGCAGGAATCCAGCCCTTGGCAATAACATCCCCCTCCCATCCCTCCATGTATCATCCTTCCTCACGTATCACATCCATCTTCCAGCAAAGGGCTGGCTGGTTGTAGGAGAAGATGAGGACCTTTCCTTGCTCTGGGAGGCTCAGAGAGCTTTTTTAAGTCTTACAGCCTATTTCTGAGACTGCAGAAACATGTTTTACTAAAGGCAGTATG